CGACCGGGCTCAAAGGAGAAGCCCAGGCCACCAGAGTTGTTGGGAGAGGGAGGCAGGAAGCGGAGGAGGAGGAGGAAGAGGAGGAGGAGGCAAAGAGTTGGGGAAAGGAGGAAGCTAGGGAGGCGGAGTAGGAGGCACAGCGCTGTGGGACTGGGGAGGGGAGGAGGCGATGGAAGCACAGGGGGCAAATGATCTGGGGGAGACGAGGAGGAGGAGGAGGAGGAGGAGAAGGAGGAGGAGGAGTTGTCCTGGTTGTGGACTGCGACTGGGTTCTGCTGTTTGGTCCTAGCGACAACGCCTGGCCCCATCCAGCGCATCTCATTTCGAATCGTGTATTTCCTCGACCTGCTTTGAGGACTGCAGAGGCGCCGGGATTTGCAGCTCTGGCTTAAAGAGTTGCACCTGTCTACGGTTAGCAGTGAGCCACTATGGACGCTGCCCCCTCGACGTCGCTCACAATCGGGTTTTGGGCATTCGCCCTGTGAGGTGTCTGTGCTCTTGGCGAGGCGCAGCTGCTGGAGAGCACCCCGAGGCCAAAAAACCAACGAGACTCTACGAAACCATTTGGGAATCTCAAGGCCCTCAAACCCAAAACCTCAAACTGACGTATTCCCTTAACGTTTCCGCTTGGCCAGGGAGAGGAGGAAGAGGAGGAGGAGGAGGAGGAGGAGGAGGAGGAGAGGAGAAGGAGGATGGAGTTGATGACAATGATGATGGTGATGATGATGATGATGATGATGATGATGATGATGATGATGGTGATGCTGATGAGGAGAAGAAAGCCACAGTCAAGGGGGGCCTTATCCCAATAACATCCGCCGAACAATCGCACTACGCCACGCGAGAGCACGGGCCCTGGCCCCGGGATGATGGTGATGATGATGCTTATGGTGATGCTAATGATGACGATGACGATGACGATGACGATGACGATGACGATGACGATGACGATGACGATGACGATGATGATGATGATGATGATGATGATGATGATGCTGATGGTGTTGATAAAGCTGATGATAATGCTGATGATGAGGAGGATGACGAAGATGATGATGATGATGATGATGCTGATGCTGATGCTGATGCTGGTGATGATGATGATAATGATGCTGATGGTGATGGTAATGAGGGTGATGAGGATGATGATGATGATGATGATGATGATGATGATGATGATGATGATGATGATGATGATGATGATGATGATGATGATGATGATGATGATGATGATGATGATGATGATGGTGATGATGATGATGATGATGATGATGATGATGCTGATGTTGATGAGGATGATGCGCAGGAGTAGGAGTAGGAGGAGGCGGAGGAGGAGGAGATGGAGGAGAGGAGGAGGAGGGAGGAGGAGGAGGAGGAGGAGGCGGAGGAGAGGAGGAGGAGGAGGAGGAGGAGGAGAGGAGGAGGAGGAGAGGAGGGAGGAGGAGGAGGAGGAGGAGGAGGGAGGAGGAGGAGGAGGAGGAGGAGGAGGAGGAGGAGGAGGATAGAGAAAACAGAGCATGGGGAGGGTGGAGGTTGGGGGAGCAGGAGAAGGAGGATGAGGAGGAAGGGAGGAGGAGGAGGATGAGGAGGAGGAGGGAGAGAGAGGAGGAGGAGAGAGGAGGAGGAGGAGGAGGAGGAGGAGGAGGGGGAGGGAGAAGAGGACAAGGAGGGGGAAGGGGGGAGGAGAAGGAGAAGGATGAGGATGATGAGGATGAGGAGGAGGAGAGTGAGGACGGGGAGGAGGAGGACCAGGAGGAGGAGGAGGAGGAGGAGGAGGAGGAGGAAGAGCATGCCGAGGAGGAGCATGCTGGGGAGGAGGAGGAGGAGGACCAGTGCTAACTCAAGACTCCTCAACGATGTAGAACTGAACCCTCCCTCCAAGTTCCGTCTCCATTCCCCCCTATCAGGATTCAGGTTTCAGTTTCACTGAAGGAAATACCCTGTTGGAAGACAACAGTTTGAACATCCAGAAATTTGCCAGAGCCCCATTCCTGGGACTTCAAAACCACCACGAATCATCTATATTGTTGCGCCTCGACGACCCTGAATCGTGCCAGAAAACCACTCCTGGGATTGTACACCGCCAAACAATGTATCCGGTGCGCCATGACAATCTGTCAACGTACCAAAATTCAATGTCTGGGACGGTGACCAGAAGAATCCTAGGAGTGGTTGTAAACTCTTACAAGGAATGTGCGTGGCGCTGAGGCGGAAACCACATTTTGAAAAAAGAGCTGCCCTCCATCCGCGAAACCCTTGCAACTGCTTAACATGAATGTGCGCGGCGATGAAGCGAGAACCACATTTTGAAAGCGGACCGTCCTCAATCCGTCGAACTCTTGCACTTGCGCGCGACGCTAACAGGAGAACCGAATTTTGGAAGCGACCACCCTCCACCCGTGCAGCCCTCCTGCGAATGCTCAACGCCGAAGGCCCATGCACGGCGAGGAAGTCTCCGGCGATACCCCAGGCCCGCGTTGCCGACACGCCTCGGGGCGCCACGGACAGGAGCCATGTGGGCGACTTCGGAAAACCTGAACCCACAAACATGTTCATCTCTGGGGGGCGCACTTTGAACTTCCGCCGGGCTTCCGCCGGCTTCCGCCAACGGAGGCGGCCTCGATTTACTTCCGCCGGCCTTCCGCCGCCCTTCAGCGGCCTTCCGCCGATGAAGTGATGACAATCCCTTCGATCCTCAGTGGCAGCGCCTATTTTGGAGAGCCCCACTTCTGCGGAAGAAGAGCACCTGGCCCGCCCTACCGACAAGCCTCGGGGTGCAACGGAGAGGAGTCGCCTATACGGAAGAGGAGCGGACGACGACGCCGACGCCGACGCCGACGCCAACGCCGACGCCGACGCCGACGCCGACGCCGACGCCGACGCCGACGCCGACGCCGACGCCGACGCCGACGACGCCGACGCCGACGACGACGACGACGACGACGACGACCAAGGCGAGGCCGCCTGCGGCCACGGGCGCGGAGCACCGCCCCCACCGCGTGCGGAGCAGCGGGCGCCCGGCCAGCAGGGCCCCCAGGCTGAGGGCCCGCGCCGCGGCGCCGCCGCTCCTGGGAGGGCGCGGGGGGCCTCCCCCGACGACCTCGCGCTGCTCCGCAAGTCACGGAGGCAGGTCTTGGGCCGCGTTCGGCCTCCTAGAGGGCCTCCCTGGGCCCCAGGAACGACAAGGCCGTTTTAAGGCCGTTGTTGTTACCGGATCCGTTTTGCAGTGTTTGTTGCCAGTTCCGACGCCGTTGTTTGTTGCCGCTGGTGTCGCCGTTTTGTGGCCAGTTCTGGCTCCGGTTCCAATCCGGGAGCCGTTTTGTTTGCCGTTTCGGGTCGCCGTTGTGTGTTGCCGCTTCCGTTTTCAAGAGACGCTTTTCAGGAAACGGTGAAAAAAGGCCCTGCCGTTTCAGGGGCCCACGCCCAGGACAATCAACAAACTAGTCGGGAAGAGGCATCCGCCCTCGGGGGGCCCGCGCCGAAAAGTCCAAGACGTCGCATGTCTGAGTCGCCTGTCTTGCGTGATTGTTCTGTTGCGAGCTCTCACGTCTCGCTCTCCGTTCTTCCAGGATCGGGAGGGGCGTGCCGCCTCCCTTCGGACCAGAACCCCATCGCGTCGTGAAAGGCACCGCGGAAGCTCTCTTCTTCGTCGCCGATGGCCCGCGTCCTCCGAAACGTGCGGGATCCCCGAATGTGCAGGATACTCCGAGGGGATGCCATATTTCACGTAACCTCCATCCCCGGCGTGCGGACGAGAAGATACACTCGAAGGGACGAGAGCCTCGACGTGCGCAGCACACTCGAAGGAACGAGAGGCTCCCGACCTCTTGTCGGCCGGGGGGTCTAGCCTAGAGGGCAGAACATCCGACCCATCATAATCACCCTGGCACGCGAAGCCGTCTAGTAAACGCACCCACAGATGGAATCGAACAGGGCAGGGCTGTTCAGTAAACGCCCAGGGCCGTTTCGCAATAGCTGTCGAGTCTGGGTGGCGTTTGTCCTCCCTTGAGCACTCGCGGGCGGCTGAAGCATATGGCCGACGGGCTGGGCGCCTTGAGGCCGGTCGTGGAGAGGCCTGGGGTCGGGGGGGCGAGAGCACTGCGGTGCCGCAGCCCCAGCAGGGCCTCCTTAGGAGGAAATGGAGGAGGAGGCGGAGGAGGAGGAGGGAGGAGGAGGAGG